CTCCAGAAGTTGTTCTGTAACTGCCCGCGCGCCCCTGACCTGCCTTGAATGACGTACGGGGGAAAAAATATTACTACCGAGATCAATAAAGTGACAATTTTATTGCATTACATGATTACTTATCCTTAAGGTGCCCAAAAGCTGTCCAACACGGGGGAATAAACCAGATGACTGGAAGGAAATGACTATGAGGAAGGTCCCCAGAACTTTCCAAAATCTTTGGGCTCACACAATGCTTTTTATTTTCAACAGAATTAAAGTTCAGCATTTTCCATGTTTTTTTTTTTTTCTTCCCCCCCCCCCCCCACAGTTTAGAGGGCTACCTAATAAAAAGTTATTATTCTCAGAGTCCTGCTGCAACTGGGAAAAACACAGATGTGTCCATAGTGAGCCGTGTCAATGAAAACTACACTTCAGGATGGAAGGAAGCTCACAGAAATCACTCTGGATGTAGTTTTCACCCACAACACTGATGGGCTTGATCGAGTCAGTAGCGTCACATCCAAAGAGGAGAGATTGAATGTATTTTAAGGTGATTCTGCAATGACCTCCGAACTGATCTGAAGCTACGGGTACGGGCGATACTGCCCCGTAACCACGGGTTAAAATAGATATTTAGACCTATTGAGAAAGTACCCGTTAATTCAGGTTTATACTGAATGCAGCTACATCCGTCCGCCGATGGATGACAAACGAACAACAGGCAAATCGCCGGAGTCTAGAAAAGAAAACGCAAGCCTTCGATTTCATGACATTATGACCACGAAACAAACTCTGTTTAGTGTCCATTACAGTTCGACCCTATTGTGCATCAACAAGACCATACACTACGATTCAATCAGACGTTAGCCAAGCTCCTATTACGGAGCTCATTGCATCGTTTACATGGTGGAACGGTCCATAAGTAGCTCTAAATGCTCTTCATTTGATTGGATTTCACATTATGGACATCAGAGCAGAAACACACTGTTGTCCCCCGGCTGTCCTAATAGACTGTTGAGTGAAACAGTCCATTCGTTTGTATTTGTTTACCAATCTAGACCCCGCAAACACACACAGTAACAGACAGTGAGAGCATCGTTTAAGACGGGTGAAAATGGAGATTCTAAAAAGCGAGGAAGACGGATGGACAGCTCGGACACACGGTGTCTCCTTGACGGTCAAGTGAGGCTGCAGCCGTCACAAACAATAACAAAACGGTGCAATTAAATGAACCAAAGGACTCGTTTACATCGTTTTTCCTTTAACTATTCCTTCTTTAACGGTATTTCTTTAGCATCCGCAAGAGCGCTTAATAAACGATCCTCCAATTCAAATTGCTGATAATAACATGTGAGAACTGATCAAGGCCATCGCCATTGTTCAGTACACATGTCTTTTTGCACTGCAGCTTGCAACAACAACAAAGAATAGATATTAGTGAATGTAAAGGCACTTGAGCCGTGCGTATGGAGGAGGAACCGCGGAGATTGTGTTATTTAATGTTGTGTTGCTAAAAGAATGTCGTGCGGTTTCAAAAGTTAAAAATGGAAGAAAAAAAAAAAACTAAGAAATGCAAAGCATTGTATTTCAATGATCTTCCTGACCGGCGCAGAGAGCGCACAAAGGCACATCCCTCTGACCTTCTCCGTAATAGCAGATAAGTACTTTGATGGGTAAAAGGCCATAATTTACTTTTCAGTGTTCAAACTCCACTCAGAAGAGCCAATATTGATGGAGACCCGGCCAGAACTGAAATGGAACAATACCTTAAAGTCACCACACCAAGCGGTGATGATGAAAGGAGCATTTTTGCACACAGATTTCTGTCTCAGTAAAGAATTTCTGCTAGTAAAAAAAGAAAAAGAAAAAGAAAAACTGTTGTCCATCCTTGTCCCAGTTGCTCTTCTACGTTATTATTCTATGCTTATCCTTCTTTGTATTAAAAAAAATGAGGGATTTTCATGTACTCAACTCTTAAGCACATGAAAACTTTGAGATGTGTGAACAAAGAAAAGGAAAAGACGTCTCTTTTTTTATTCATCGTTTTCTCTCGGTTGTACAAATCCATCCGTTTTAATGCCCGCTTGATGTTTTCATATAGATTTGGGTTTATGAGCAGACGTGTCATCCTATTGACATATGCTTTTCTATCCCTCCATAATCCAAAACGCCCTAACTTCGCCTGTGTTGTCGTTTGTGGGGGGGGGGGGGGGGGGTCGTTTCCCCTGATCATGCAGAGCCAGAATTTTCTTTTAGTTCATCTTTGGGCAAACACGATGCGATCTTCAGGTTTGTCGGTCAGCGGCGGCAAACTGCACGGTATGTTTTACTACTATTGCCATGGCGGGTGTTTCCGTAGCTAATCAGTTACAATATGAACGTAGTTTCTTTAGACTTAGAAACATGTTCTTCTCTAAGGCTAAGAGAAAGAGAGTTTGCCATCTCCTCTGATCTCTAAATGTAACTACACCCTCTTGGCAAATCTGTTTTTTTTTCAAGTTGACAGAAGTGAGATGCATAATTTCCCAAAGAGTCATCAAATGTCAAAGTGAAGTCAGCTCTCACTTTGACACACAGAAAAACAAGCACTACACGCCTCCGACGACGACGACGGCCTCGCCAGGGAGGCATGAAAGCTCCCCGACAAGCAGGGTAACAAAATAACAACATTTTATCTTGGATTTTTATTTCTTCTTCATCAAACTCTTGTGTCTTTAGGAGAGTCCCACACGAGGAGAGGGGAAAATCAATAGTTTGTGACAAAAACACACATCTGACCACGACGGGGAGAAAGTGTGGTGATGGGCAAATGTGCTCAGCCTAAAAAAAATAAATAAAACGAACACGTCGCCTTTGAGGGAAGCGGTGTACAACATGCAGGATATCAAAACAGACGACGGTCCCTCATCACACGAACAGCCGCTCCGTTGCCTCTTGTGGAACATATTCACCTGCTCTAGTCATGGTTTGGTTTATTAGGGGTCACAGCGACCTCAGAAAGATGTCATTTCCTGACTGTTGCAGCGTTGTGTCTGGAAGAAAGCCCGTTCTCGGTTTACATTTAATGCTTTAGAAAAGAAAAAGGTCACCTGAACTTGCTCCACCGACGATATCATGTATCAAATCCTCACACTCCTTCGGTGCAGTCTTTAGGTTTATCTCACCTTTTTTGTTCAACGACTAAAACACTTGTTTCTTGAAGGGATTGTGGAGGCTGGTTACACATACAATGATTAAAAAAAAGGGAGTGCCGCTGCATTTCAGGATGAGGAGCGGCTGTACGTCTGTGTTCATGAAACGTCCGTCCCCTAAAGCCAAAAAAAAGTCACCATGGTCCTCTGGTGCACAATACGACACCGATGTGACTTCACCAAACATTGTAGTCACAAAGTAGCATTCAAGGGTTGATACTGTATATATGGGTGTGAAACAGAAAATACCTCTGTTATGTATGACCGAGGCATTTTGGGTTTTAAAAGATGTGAAAGCCACCGGGGGCCACACCTGCAGCATCACGGCTCACTGGTTTCATAGGTTGCTTCTTGATTGGTGCTTTTTTTCAGCTAATTGCTAAAATATTTTTATTGGTAACCGTTTTTCTTTTGTTGATTTAATGAATTTAGTTGTGTATCATATGTTTCTCGTTGGTATATTCTTGGTATATTTTATTTGGTTTACGCTAACTTAGCATAGCACAGCCCCTGGTGGGTTCTTTTGTGGGCCCAGAATTCTCTTCCACACATCATGTTAATTGATTGCTAAATGTTTATGTGATTAAAAACCCTCCTTTTGAAATTCCACCTGAGGCTCCTCGTGCCTTCCAGCTCGGCCCCTCACACTGATCACTGCCGTGAAGCATGAGCGTAGAAATGCTTCATGCGAATTCTATAATCGGGAGGTTGTTTTAACATGTTAGGAAACATCATAAACGGACAACGGGTTCATGGATGAATGGGCTGTGCGTTTTCAATGGACAAGCTTTCTGATTAATTGTCCACATCATCCTTTAGCATCGGGGAGCTCCTGAGTTCCAAACACATAACCTTGTTACGCCGGCCCGAGACTGGGGCCCGGCTGACCGAAAGCCATCTCCGAAACCTTGTTACACTTGCTTTGATGCACAGCCCGGCTCACGCAGGCTACATTCTGCAGCTAAACGACGTCACATGACAATCCGGATGATTAGAAACCTCGCTTTTTTTTTTTAAATATGAATGTGGATCCGTGTTCCTGATCCCTGCCGCTCAGATGGAAACATAATGCAATTTGCCACCTGTTACAAGTGCTGCGGCTTTATGAAAGCGCCCCTGCGCTTCCTCCTGTCATTTGTCCGACGGGACAGAGGTCATCTGCTCATCCCGAGTCACGGTCGGGACAGGATGCTCTTTGATTTTTATTGGGAGGGATGACGAGCTAATGACAACAGATGCAAGAAGAAACGTGCACTTCCTGTGGAGACCATTTTTTTTTTCAAACCATAGTTCACTTGAGCCAAGAATACAAGCTGCAGTGATACAGGCTGGGAAGTAACCCAGGTAGAAAGAAACCAACTCACCTGTTGCAGGTCCTCTGCTCGTGCTTGTACAAGCTGTTTAATGTCGTTTGTCTCCATCCCAGGATCCCGGATGTAACCATCATCTGCTCAGTGGAGGGAGAGGGCAGGCTCGGGATATCCCGACCCTCGTTATGTTGTCCTTTCGATTATGCTAAATTGTTTGCATGGCTCGAAAAAACTGGAGTTTGTGCACAGCTTTATCATATAGGTTCATTTGCCACAGTTGAGTAACTTGAACCAAGACAATGCGCGACATTTTAACCGCATGTGTGACATTATCTGTGATAATCTATGTGAATTACCGTGTCTTTAGCTACGACTTGGTCGCTATGAAACGTTAGTACAACGAATCATGAGTTATTTCTGACGCTTCACCGCTTCACCATGCCGTTTGCCGCTACGATGGCGCTGTGTGATCTGATTGGCTCATCTGCACCATATGGGCTTCTTAATCGTGACGTAGCTGCAGACCATTGGTGGGTTTTCCAGAGAAGGCGGGGCATATCCGCACAACCCGGATATGCGGGGTGTTTTCGTCTGATCAGGAAGGATTGGCATTGAACACAAATGGGTAAATATAACTTCTTTGCGTTGTCTGGCGAACATTAAGGCGTGAATAATGTATCTTACACATCCTGTTATTCCCCCAGGAAAGCTTAAATGCGCCACCTCTTCATTTTAAAGACTCGTGGAATAATATCACCTCGTTGTTGTCTACTGTCTGTCATGTGTCTCCGGAGCTTATATTTGTCCCCCATCACCTGCAAATTTGCTTTAAAAATCAAATCGATATGGATGTGTGTAGTAAATACAACTATTCTAAAGAGGTTTTCATCATTAGTCAGGTTGGTATATTTGCAACCTGCAGCCGTGAATATTGCGTCTTACTGCTCTGCACGTTATTATATTATTCCACTAAATAAATAATCAGTGGCAGAGATCAAAACCTTCCACCCTGCAAATCAAGGTAAAGTTGATGTTATTGATTTCCAAGAGACTAACGTTACTCACTTCTCTCATCCTAATCATTACTTTATCTCTCTCCTTTCCACTGGCTTTGACTGCACTTGCACCCTCCGCCCCAAACCTAATCCCCTCTGTGATTATCACATGAGGCTTTGGCCTCCTTATCAAAATGGAGCAGATTTGAGTTTTGTTGTTGTTAACGACTGATGGGCATTGGCTTTAAAAAATAAAATAATTAAGAAACAATGTCATAATGAGGAGCATGGATTAAAGTATAGTCATTTGGCTCCAGAGCTGAACACTTTGTATAATGAGGGTGTTTCTGAGGGAATCGCTGAAGTGAAATTGCGCTGTGATGTCACTCGGTCATGAGGTCATTTTATGCAGTTTAAAAGATGAAGGGAAGTGATGAAGGCAGGAGGGGATATTTGTGCACTCATTCGGAAAGAATTCCACCCTCCAGAATTAACTTCATTGTTTTAGTCCTTGAAGGGAACAAAAACCGTTATGATGGCACATGTAACGGTCATCTCTGCTTCCGACCAACAAGTTATAGGATTTTATTTGGATTATTTCCATTTTATAAGCTCTAAAATGATCTGTCCTGCTCTAGAACCAATGCTTATCAGACCTATAGGAAATGCCAGACCGTTGCAGTGTACTCAAATAGTTACATTTAGCTCTATACAATAACATATTATCTCCAAGTATCAGTATTGTTCATATTTACAGTGCACCTGCACTTGTGTGTGTATATTTTGGCTGGCAATGTTGCCAAGTTGCCTATAATATGTTGAGATGACACAGGTACAGTTTGCAGAGGCATCGATCCCATTCTCCAAATTCAGCCATGTGTGTATATATAACAGAGAGGTTCCTAAAAGAAGGGTCTGTACAGTGGGTCCTCCTGCAGTGGGCTTCACCTCTGTTAGAATCCCCCCCCCCCCCTCCCCCAAACACTCAATTTAATTGTTACACAAATTTAACAGAAAATGACTAAATGTGTTTCATTTGCGTGAGGTGAGGCCACAGAGCTCTCCGTGACTCCGAAGAAAGACACTTCACTTCTCATTTATTAGCTGTTCTACTTTTTCTTTCGCAGTCATTGTGCCTCTGCCCTTTGAATCTTTTATTACTTTTTAATTTATTTATTTTTTTTGTTAACAAATGCCTGTACTTATTACTCACACAGCCCCAGCATACTCAACCTTTCTACTCATGAAATCAATTAATTCTCTTAAATAATTTACCTTCTGAGCAAACCAGATTAAGCAGAGCAGATTTCCCCCTATGCCGGACGAGCTGTTCCGACTGATGTGTATTTTCCTTGTGTTCAGGCATTAACTCGGCCCTCACCCCCGAGGAGTCTTGGGTGATTACAAAAAAGGGGAGCGCCTTGATAAAGCATTAGTGCGCGGCACGCACACACACACACGCACACACACACAGCCTGAAGACCCCTCTCCGCATTTGAACGCCATTCATTTTTCATGAAACAGACTCATAACAATTAGTCTGGGGACCGCCTGGGCAATCTTAGCGTCCCCGTAATGCCTGTGGTCTGCTGTATGACATCACTCTCTTTAAAAGTTCTAAATCTGACATTCTCATCCGTTTTCACAGCGAGGACATTAGAAGGCCGCGGCTAATAGGCCTGCACTCGTTCCTGGCGAAAGGAGGGCAATAAAGGGAGGGAGGGGGAGAGAGTGGGCGGGGGGGGGGGGGAGGGCGGTGAGACCGCAGTGCTCTGAGAAATAGCTTCTATTCACCAGAGCTTTTACGCAAATTAATTTACATGAGCAACACAAGAAAAAAAGTAAAGTTTGTAATCCGCCAAATTCAGAGCCTTGTTTTCCTGCTACGAGTCAACGTTCACGCAGCAACTATATCATACTAACAACCACAGCAGTGTGCAGAGGCATTTCAGCCCCACGCCTTGATGGCGACCTCGCCACACGGCGTCCAAACGGCGTGGAATGACAGCCCCCCCCCCTGCATCCCTCGGTCTTTAGTCCCCTTACACTAAACCCCCTCGTCCCCTCCCTGGACACCAAAGCCAAGGTCAAGAAGAAAGCGCAGCCTTCCTGTCTCTACGGGCTGCTCCCCGGGCGCCCGCACCTCGGAGGGGCCGCGGACGCCGCAGGAATGTTCCCTCCTCCTTTTTTTTATTTTTATTGTGAGCGTCAGTCCCAAGGTCGTCTCCGAGGGGGAGGTCGGTGCTTATCTCTTTTACCCCCTCCTTCCTTTTTCTTCTCCTTTTAGCTATCTTTGCCCCACCCCCCCACCCCCTCTTCACTGTATCAGCAGACAGTAGTTGAGAGCTCGTGGCGGAGGGGGGTTTCGCAGCGCGACGCCCTGACGCGGGTGTGTCTCTTTTGTCCGTCTTCCTGGCATTACAGGCCATTGGCTGGTTTTTCAGAGGACCCCGTGCAGCTGCGAGGCTTTCAGCCCGACGCGGCGTGCGCTTTTTGTTGGCTCGTCTCTTCTTCGGCTCGCTGGGCGTGGCCCCTTCTTTTGCCTCCAGGTCGGTGTTCGGGTGTGCTCCCTCGTAGAATTGGACTGTCGTCGGCGTCGGACTCGGCGTTGTTGTTGTTGTTGTCTGCAAGCTATGGCCGCCCAGCCCTGAGTCAGTGTGCTATCTTTGGTCTGACAACAAGATGCCCCGACTAAGGGAAGAGGTAGAGAAGAAAAAGAAAACCCATCCAACCTGAATCAAAATACCCTTTTATTATTCTACAGTTCTTAAACAAAAAAAAAAAAGAAAGATTTTCTGTTGGTGTCCAGCGACCGGTTGTCGTTTTGCCGAGGCGGCCTTTTCTGTCCCCGTGTCGGTTTGTCGTCTGACCCACGGGACAATTATCAAGTCAATAAATCGCATGATGTGTGCGCGGTTGCGGGGGAAGAGCCCCGTCTGCTGCGCGCGGCGGCCCCCTCCATCGGGCGCCACGCCGCCGCGCTCTGCAAACACTGACATCGACTGTGACTTTTGGCCATTACATAAGGAACATGGATTTCCAGCCGTCCGCGGTCGGAGCCCTGTAAATTCAAATGCTTAATTTTTATAGGCAGCCTGGCATTGACTGAAGTGTCCGCTTGTTATGTATTTGGCAAGTGCTGCGAGTCTGAAGGGAAGCCGTCAATAGCAATCCCAGCTATTGATATGGCAGCGGGCAGGAGATGTTACTTGGCCCCCGACTCTCGCATCCCTCTGATCCCTCTACATCATAATTACATTAATATTGACAGACCCTTGACAATAGTCACATTACTATTGATAGGTGGCTGTCAATACCGTGTTTCCCCAAATAAAACATATTCATTCATAACTTGTAAACTGCTCGATAAAAGGCTTTGAAAAGAATATTGGACCCGGCCGGGTTTGCTCTCCCTTGAGAGGGCTGCTGCCGCTGTGACGGGGGTTTCCGCCACCTGCCTGAGTGAGTGTGTGTGTGTGTGTGTGTTACCATGCACCGATAGATTCATTTAGCTATGTGTGAGCGCTCTGCATAGATCAAGGCTACCCGTGAAGACGTACGTAGTCACACACACACTCACGGGAACATAATCTCCATCAAGGGGAAACTTTCAGATTAAGCTAAACAAACGGAGCCTGTTTATTGGTTGCATACACAGTTTGACTACCTTTTTATTTATTTATTTTTAAGCCAAACTCCACTTCCGTCACAGGCGGAGGTTCTGGTGGCTAAACATGGCAGCATTTCAAATGCAGCTCAATGAATTTGTCACACCTGCTTACTTCAGCGTGAATTCACTCTTTTTTTTTTTTTTCATTCATTTGCTAATTCTAAGTTATTTGGACGGTGTATCCTGGCTCTATTGAAACATCATGAATACACAGCTGGTCCTGTGCGCCACGGTAAACCCCAGCATTGCCACCGCATATTTAAATGCTTTTTTTTTTTACCTTCTCGAGAAACGTCTAAAGTGACCATCATCTCTCTCCCTTTCTGTCAAAACTGCCATATTTACCCGGCTGAAATCTCTTTTAAAGCCTCGTGACAAATCCTGTTCAGAGAGACACAAAAGCCACTGTCAGAAAAAGGCCTCTCTGTCTCCCTCTCTCTCTCCCTCTCTCTGTCTCCCCTTGCCTTAGTTAGTCTCCCACTTCTTAAGCGTTTCATTTGAGGGAAAGGGCAGATAAAACCGGGGGGGGGGAACTGAGCAGTTTTGGAAACGCATGCAGCCCCGACTGCACAATGGCGGGATCCCGTATGGAGTCGACTCTGGAGGGAGGAAAAATAGTTCCACATTTGGCAGATGTTTACGGTGTACCAGAGACTGTGCCGTTAGCCTAATCCCTAGTGATGTGATTTGTACACACACCCCCCCTATCTCCAGAGGGAGCCGGCACCGAGAGCCCCCGAGCCTCGCCTCGTGTGTGTGTGTGTGTGGGTGTGTGTGTTGGATTGTGTGAGTTTGTACACCGGAGAGAGCAGTCGAAGACCCCCTGCTCCTCGGCAGTGCGCAGCTCAAAGGTTGCATTAAGGACGGGTTTTACATGTGAAAAGTGATTTCCTCTCCTATGTATGAAGAAGAAATAACCCTCCTAACAGGATGGGCCTCACCTCCAGGGCCTCGTTCCTCCCAATAACCAGGTTGTCCTTTTAATAGTTGTCCCTTTGTACACAGTTTGTTCATGTAGCTGCTTTTAATAGGTCAGTATGGAGTTGCCAGTAGGTTTATAGGGTATATAACAATGTAAAGTCACGAGACACTATTCTTATTCCTATTAATACTTGATCATCGGCATTTTTTGGAGGATTTTAATTCACTATTGTTGAAGCTTTAGCCGATATTGTGGATACTTTTTTGCGGATACTTTTTTACTCTCCAGTTTCATTGGTTAATGATAAACTTGATTACTTATGTGGATTTTATTTTGTCAACAATCACCTTTTTGTGTGTGTGTTTAAACTATTATGGCATCTACATTTTTTTTTTTTTATGTTTGTGTATTATTTGAGTTAGCAAAATAGTTTATCACACTTACACTTCTTTTTCCCGCAGCTTTGGAAGGCGAGGGCGGCGTGAAGCGATCTGCTCCGGCGGTGGATACCGGCGCGCAGACCCCAGTACTGCGCATCAGCCAGCTGGACGCCCTCGAGCTGGACTCGTCCCTGGAGCAGCTGGTATGGACCCAGTTCTCCCAGTGCTTCCACAACTGCCGCCCGGGCCTCCTCACGCCGCTGGAGCCCGAACTGAAGGCTCTGCTCCATCTGCTTCTGTGGCGGTTCACGCTTTATTCTCGCAGCGCCACCGTGGGCCAGTCTTTACTGAGTCTGCGCTACCACAACACCCTCTCCCCGTCCCCGCGCTACAGACCCCTGTCCCGCAGGCAGAAGCTGGGTCTGGCCCTGCTCACCGCGGGCCCACGCTGGCTCAAGGAGCGCTCCCACGGCCTGCTGCTGCGCCTGAGCCCCGGAGGGGCCGCGTCCGAAAGGGACGGCGGTTTGCTGCGCAAGATCCTGAGCCTTGTTTCTGGCGTCGCGCAGCTCGCGACCCTCCTCAACTTCCTCGCGTTCCTGAGGAAAGGTCGGCACCCTGCGCTGGCCGAAAGGATTGTGGGAGCCCGGGCGGTTTTCAGCCAGCCCGACGTGGCCCGGGACGTCACCTACCAGTACATGAACCGCGAGCTGCTGTGGCACGGCTTCGCCGAGTTCCTCATCTTCCTGTTGCCGCTGGTCGACACCAGGAAACTGAAGGCGGCCGTGTTTTCGGTCGTCCTGGGGGGAGACGGCGGCGACAGGGCGGGGGCGACCGGCGGGCCGGGCGCTTGGAAGGAGTGCGGGCTGTGCGGGGAGTGGCCCACCATGCCCCACGCGGTGGGCTGCCGCCACGTGTTCTGCTACTACTGCATCAAGAGCCACAGCGTCGCAGACGCTGGCCTCACCTGCCCCAGATGTGGAGCAGAGGCGGGGCGGCCGGAGCCGGTCAAGATGGAGGTGGAGATGATTGGCGGAGCAGTGATTTAAAGGAGCTGTCATGAGTTTATTTTGTCACTTTATACCTGCACATGAATTAAACTGAGATGAATAATTAAACTTTTTCATGTAAGAATATTTTGTAAAGACTGAAGTATATTAAGACATAGTCCATATATTCGCGAGGTCGTCGTGTGTGAGTTTATGACTGGACTTTCCTGAACACACATAGAGATGCTATGTTTAATATATGTGTGCATATATTGACAATTCTCTGCCCCTTCCATTTCTCCAACTGGACTTTGGACAGAATTATTTGTCTTTGGTGCACTGGACCGACTACAGAGAACCACACAGCATATATTTGATGAGTGAACATGTTGATTTATGCTCCTGTGTGTGTGTGTGTGTGTGTTGAAATGGGAATATTTGTTCTGATGAAAAATGCAGAAAGTCAGCTGAATTAATAATGGGAGGAATTTCTGATGCCGCTCATCATGGCCAAATTAGCATTTGTTGTGTATTTTGTGCCTAAATAGTATTTCAACATCATTAAAATTGATAGAGTGCTACCTCTTGGGTGTTTATTTAGTTAAGTGGGGAGAGAGAGAAAGATGAGGGGAAAGTTATAACAATCAGCACACTTCTCTCTAGACAGGCCCGGTCGTTCTAACTCCCATTATCCGTTTTCACAGCACCCCAACATGCTGAAGATCAAGGGGGCAGCCGTGGGCTTGGATTGACTCACGCGCACGCACGCGCGCACACTCGCACTTCGACAGCTAGCCTCTCTTTTCCCTTGGCCTTTCTCTCTTTTGCTGCCTCCCCATCTCTCTCTCTCTCTCTCTCTCTCTCTCTCCCTCTGTAATCTCCAGGGCCCTCGCCCCTATAAGACTGTAGTAAACTGTACCAAAACCCTGGCAGTCGTCTCCTTCCTCGCAGGCGAATTACTCTCTAATCCCTGTAATGAGTCCAAAGATGCTTATTTATGCTGGAGTTAACCTCCACCAGTGAGCCCAGCCCCGGGCCAAACGCGCCCCAGCTGAGGGAAGCCTTTTCCTGGGCTGACGAGAGAAGAGAAGGGTTGGGCTGGGGGCTACCTCCCACCTCTTCCTGCCTCCCCAACCCGCCTCCCCTCTCCCGCTCTGATCACTAGGGCTTAATTGCTGATTGCCGAGACGATCAATCGGAACTGCAGGCGTGATGGAAAGCCTATTGCGGCGAGCTGGACTCGGATCTAGCGGCTCAGGGAGACGCACACGTTTGCACTCCGATGAGGTTAATGTTTCTGTGAGAGGATAGCGTGAAATATTTGTCCTCATGAGGTGCAGGCATGCCCTGAAGAGTACTGGGCAGGTGCCTTAAATTATTTATCCTACTTACCATGTGATCTTTATTTCTCCGAGAAGGTTTGTAGAGTTTATACTGGTGCAATGCAAAGCCAAAAGCAATGAATAGTACGGTTTAATGCGCATGGAAGTTGTGAAAAGAGCCTCTCGATTGAGTCAAAGAAAAATGTTCACCTTGAGGTCGGGGTTACAATCCTACATGATGATTTGATTTGACATGTGCAAAACACACGGGCTCATCGTACGGACACTCGGAGGTCCTCTCACATCAAGGACGTTCTGACTAATGAATCCTATAGCGATGCATATAGTGTAAGAGACGGTTTGTCAATATTTCATGCACTACGTTGCGTTAAAGTGCAGCGAGTCCCCGAAGGCCAAATTAAGGAGATGTTTGAGATTACGGATGCATATATGATCAACCGTAATGCTCCCGGGACATGTCATTGTCTTAACATTCAGGCAGACTTACAATCCAAACCTTTTTGCAGATATTATTCTACAACTCCAGCTGAAGTCTCCAATCCCCAGGAAAGAGAAAAGATAAAGAAGAAACGGTGCATTAAAGTCCATTAATTGAGTTGGGCCTATAGATTGAATTAGTTGGAAGTTGGAACAGGGCTCTGGAGTTAAGGAAGGTAGCTCGGGCTCCGTTAAGCCTATCTGTCTTTGGATCTTTTCTAATTCGCAGGCTCCGTGTGGAGAAGGAAAAGCGGAAGAAGCCCACATTCCCAGCGGCTATGCCAAGCAATCTGCCCGTTCACACACATCCATTTAGGGAGCAAATTGGCCCCGTGCCCCCTCTGACGAAGGTTTTAAGAGAAAGGGAATTAGGTCGTTGAATCCCTAACTAGATCTCCTTCTTTGATGAGCCTCTTTATCCGCCTGTCCCTCATCTCCATTTCTTTGATGTGAGGCGTTGATTTTCCTGATTAAATAGTTTTTAAAGTAAAAGGCTCTTTTCTCGTGTCTGTAATACCGGGTACTTTACCTATTGTAGGTCCGTTTGTGTGCATGCTTTCCGAACGGTCCATCTGCACTATTCTTTAATTGGAACAGAGCCCTTGGGTTGCAGATAATAAGGACAGTACAATAGCTTTGATTCGTACATGCATATTTTTCACTGAGAAATAATGTTATCATTTAAGCTTATGTCTGGCTTTTTACCTCCTTATTTGAAACGGCTAGAAGGATTTAGAAAGCCGCTCTGCATCACTAATGAAATTAAAGCGGAAAAACACCTGTGCTTTTCCATTTGGACGAAAGTCCGTCTCTGATCCGTTTGCTCACGGTGAAAGCTTTTACCTACCTCTCAACAGGTTAGGGAATTACACCCTCTCCTAGTGGGTAGATATTTCCAAATACTGACATCCTTCTCAGAGAGCAAATGACATCAAATCCATGCCAAAAAAAAAGGATGAAGAAAAGAAAAAAAATTTGACACCTGCGTATGTTTTTCTTGTGGCACGTCCACTCGTCTTTCAGCTACTAAATAGAAGACATGCCAAACATAAAACACCAAAATTCCTCCAAGGTAGTGAAATCCTAGGTGTGCTCAAGTTCAGGGCTGCAGCCGCTGCAGGTACCGGTGCTACGAGAGTTCTTTCAACACCTGCCGGGCTTTGGATACCACCGGGCCCAATTATCTTAGCCTGCCTCTTCTTCTTAACCGCCTCTCCAGTCTAACAGGTCAGGGGGACAATCAATCACTCCTAAAATAAGGAGGTAATTTCCTGGGCTTTTATCATGGTGTTGAGCTATTGTCTGGTTGCATTTTATACCTTGAGAGGAAACGGAGCAGCAAAGGGTCGGGAATGTACTGGATTCGGCCTTTTTCGTCCTTGCTCTCGAGACTCGGGATAATTTGGGATCTATATAGGATCTATATGCTCAACTCAATATGTGCAGTGTGGATGAGCAAATACAAAGATAAGGAAAAGAGTGGGAAAAGTCCTGCATCTTGTGATGCTACGTCAATAGAGGTTATGATACTGTAAAACTTGAAAAAGTTGAAATGTAGGCTGTACCCTCCTCCACATCCCAGACACAGATATCCCTGACAGCACGCATGCAGACAGCTGTGCAGGGGAGTCATAGCCCTGCTTACACTCCATCCATCTCTTTATCTATCCACATCTATTAACTGTTTCTACATTTGTTTAAAGGTTATTTTCAACAGCTTTGTTCACAGTGTAATTAGTAATAGTTTGTAGAAATATTGCTAATCTACTTTTAAAAATATACTACAAACCGATGTCTTTATTACATCAGCATTACAGATTTTTCCTTGTTTCTTTTTTTTTTAATTCTCTGATTGAACATTAAAGGAAAGTTACTGGACAAACGAGTAATTTGAGGCCACATGTAATAAAAACACAATAAAGGCACAAGCGGTGAATTTCATATTTCACACTAACACACGGCTAAAGAGATGGAATCAAACTTCACCTGACCTGTCCTCTGATTGGATGAGCCAGGACAGCAGTAGCAAGGGGATTGGGCAAATGACCAGGGGGCATCACAGGGATTATACACAGGTGTGTTGCAGTGGGCCGGGGGTTAGATCTGCCAAAGCCAAGCCTGTGTGTGTGTTTAGCCATCTCGGTCCTCTTCCTACTGATGTCTAGAACAGACTAAATGAGCAATAATCTGCACACATCCCTCCAGATGTCCCAGTGAATTTCCTGTGGCTTAAGGCGCCAGCTGAGCTCTTTGAAAGTTTTGATAACTTCTGCAAATGTGATTGAACCTCTGCTTGTACAGGAATGTGTTGCAGGACACAATGTGCTTATTCCCATTTGAGAAGAAAAAGGAGGCATGCGTTTGGCTCCGGGACTAGTTGCACCTATTAGTACAACATATTTCAAGCTGTACAGGGGAAATATTGTTGTGTACCAAGCCAGCTGAGAAAATAATGTTCAAAAGCATTATTATTACAAACTTGTCTGAAGTTGCACTGTTCTAAATCGTACTCACTGTATTGTCATTCACTGTCTTGCTATTTTGGTACCTGCAATATGATTTGTATATGTATATACATTTTTATTGAAAGATCTCAGGCAATTAACTTATTTCTATACATAGGCTTTGATCATTGTGCAATCCACCCAAGTTGTCAGCAACCGAGGAAGCGGAGCAAAGCTTTATTCACCATCGCCTGCCAATCAATGCTAATATAAGGCCCTCAATCATCAGCACGCAAACACAAGGAGCACATGTAAAGTGACATGAATATTTGATAATGTCTCGCCAATCTGACTGCCATTACTTCAATTCATTATCTAAATGAAATATTCCAAATCCCATAACCAAGTTGAGAACAAAAATAGGAAAGATTGTAAACACAATCACGGCCGTAGAAAGAATTTCAATAACACATGTCGCCATATAGAGAAGCATCCGCTGTGCACGTAAAGGTAATATGGAGTTTCTGTCAGGAGAAGGTAACAGGAATTTCTAAATTACACGTGTAGGAAACCCACTGAACAATGAGAACAGCAGGCAGAAAAAAAGCCTAACCCTGTTAAGTATCAGGCTGCCGGGTAATGACAATGTATTTGTGCGTTTCAGCATCTTGGCATCTCCGGCTTTTCAAGGAAGGAAGAAATATCATTTTTGTGGTTGCCATGGATACCTGCGTGTGAAGGTTTCGCTGCGAGTCTCGACTCCTCGAGGAGATCAGTGAACCGCATGTGTCAACCAGCATTAACCTGCTCAGTCCAACAGACGCACGGAGACACACAAGCACAAGAAAGAATAATAAACACACACAAACACGCGCATTAACCTTCTCATCTCACTACACACCGTAGTCTCTAAAAACACACAAACACACGGTTGTTGTGAGCACAGTTGCGCATTTGTCGGAGCGGATATACTCTCGGGTGAACACGGAGTTGTACCCTAAAGGAGAAACTTTGATTATGAGGCTGTTTTGTTGTACTACACGAGGTCTAAACCTCCACTGTGCAAAGGCTCCGATACGGTGTTCTGCAGTCAGCGTGGCCATTTGCAATTCATTCATCCACTACAAGAACCGCATGCAGCACGTGGAATCAGAAAGTCCCGCAATAATTGTACGTCCAAGAGGCGCAGCAGCACAAATATTAACTTGAAACCAAAAGGGACGAGCGCAAACCAGCAAGTGGGCTCACAGAGTTCTTTTGAAAAAAAAGTGTTACCAGTGTTGCTGATGAGCTCAGCAGGTGTTGCCATCTTACTAA